ATAGCATAGCCATAGCATAGCCATAGCATAGCCATAGCATAGCCATAGCATAGCCATAGCATAGCCATAGCATAGCCATAGCATAGCCATAGCATAGCCATAGCATAGCCATAGCCATAGAAACGAGTGGATAAGGGAGAAAACAAAAGTGAGGGATGTTAGACAAGAAGTTGCAAAATTGAAATGGAGATTTGCCAGACACAATATAAGACAAAAAGAACACCGATGGAACAAAATTCTTATAAGTTGGATATCGTGGGAATATAAACGAAGCAGAAAAAGGCCCCAAATGAGATGGGCAGATGATATCAAGAAGCACGTGGGCTCTAGATGAATGACCGTAGCGACAGACAGAGAAGAATGGAAAAGGATTGGGGAGGCCTATGTCCAAAGATGGACTGAAGAAGGCTAATTAGATAGATAGAGATAAAAGCTTAGTCCACAAGGTCATCTTGGCTTAGATACGCTTGTAGTAAAGGTATAATACTAAATACCACTGAAATCGTACGTAGAGTTAATAAAAATGAGAAATATTTTAAAAATGTCGTAAGAAAATTAATACAAACTACTATAGTTAATTAGGGAAGGTAAAATTTAAGGTAGGGGATATAAAGGAAAAAGGCGAACCTGTTGGTTACGAAAGATAAAAGAAGTAAAGATCAATATTTCAACCAAAAAGGGATTTAGCGTACGAGAAGAGTAATTAGTACCTATAATATTGCAACACATGACCTAATAACATGTGGGTACAAACACTAAAATAATAAAAGGATACAAGCAGCTATGTAAATTTTAAGATAAATATGGAAAGAGGATATTGAAAACGATTGACCCAAGAGATGAAACAAAATCTATATAGAACAGGAACTAGTATAAATCGTACCAAATACCATACAATAACCTTATCTTCTGGGAAAGACGGAGAATACGGAGTAGAACGAATTGATAATGAGAGACCCTCTAGTAACCAACATAGTGCCTGTTGGTTAGCGGCTCTAACTAGCAAACTTACTAGCAAAGTTATTAGCGAACAAAAGACAAGCTCTAAAAGATGGCAAGATAACTGTCACTCAACGTCACAAATACGACTATATTTTAAGATCCTACCAAACCAGGCGGAAAGCCTAATACAATAAGCAGAAGAAAAGTGTTTTTATGATATTATCCACTTTTTTAAATCTTTAAATCTTGATCTGCGGTTACATCTTCTTCTCTCCACTTATTGTATAATAGTTTAAGAGAGTGTATTTCGTTTGATTTTTCTACATGGCTAAGCTATTGTAGCATATTTATTTAAGAGAATCATTTAATATCGTTTTAATAATTAATAATTATCAATATAAAAAGTAATATTATTATAAAGTTGGTAAAGCACATCTTTTTAGCTCCTTCGCCATATTTTGATCACCTGTCCACCTTTATATTATATTCGAAGTGGTGTAGAAGGTTCTTCCGTTTTTTTCCATCTTGCATGCCGAGTTATTTTTGTAGCTACTTCTAAAGTTGTAAAAGCGTGAACTAGATTTATTTTTCTTCTTCTCATTATGACAATGTTACCTGTGTAAGCTAGTATTTTATAGTTTTATTAACTCTGCTGTCCTGTTTGGGTCAATTTGACACAAAAAAAATTATTTCTTATTTTGCAAATTATTGCGCGGCATAACGTTTTGGTGTTTCGTGACTTTATTACCTAATATGAGGTATTTCAATTGCATACGAGGTAAAAAATCAATTTCCTGATCTTTTTGATAAAAATTAATTGATACCTACAGTACGTTCGGGTCAATATGACCCACGTATTATAACCGTTAAAAATTACCTGTTTGCGTATGTTTAGTTGGCAGTATTTTATATATTTTTTAACATTTTGTTAGTCAGGTACGTCTATAAATAAAAACAAGTTTCTGCAAGCTAAAACTATAAAACTTCTAAAAGAAAAAATGTGTAGTGTAGCTCGACGAAGTCATTTAGAAGAGCCTGTCACGCAGAAGGAAGTATGGGTGATACACAAGTTGTAGGCTGGTAGGATACTGATAAGCCAAGCGCATTTATTTACATTTTAAATTTCAGTCTATGTTTGTATGTTGATAATGTCGCAACAAAGAACGCTAACCGAAGATGAGCTTCGCGAGCACGCGAACGTGTCAGAGAATGGTCGGTGCATAACAAAAACAGAAAACAATACAAGTAGTGAGAGTAAGGAAGAAAGTAGTAATGATTCTGCTGTTTTATTCTACATACAACGTCCTGTAAATATTATTCTCATCCATTCACATCCACATGATAATAATAATATACGAACAAATATCGAAGGACCTCCTACAAAACATACAACAACTAGGTCTCATTGAACATCTATCTGAGCCCATGCGAAAAGAGATACTACTACTAAACGAGATAGTTAGGTTACTTAAGTAACACGAAAATAATGACACCAGAGCTCAATCCTTTTGGTACCATATTTATCCAGGATGAGTGAATTTTTCCCTACCAGAAAGTGAGATAGGTATGGCTTAAATCTGGATATATGATCGATATGAAGTAGACATTTTTAATTTTCTTATACAGATAAATACCATTCCGCCCTTTTACAGATTCTCACCATATACATATTGGTCCGTTATACTTAACTTTGCTTCTAAAAATCAACATTACGAACTAATATTACTCCTATTGAACAATCTTACTATAAAAGGCACTGCTTTACTGTAAGATTTTAATTGTAGATTTCATTGTTAAGTGTAAATTTGTGTTTCCATTTGAAGAATATAAAATTACAGTATCATTAGAGCCACAACAGAAGTTTCCTTTCACGGGAATAGATACCACAACGCTTGTGATATAAATTGATACGCATGAGTAAAATGAAATTAAAAATAATGAGAGTATGAGTATAAAAAATCGATAGCAATTTACCTGGGTTTTACATTCAAGTGATTATGCGATTGCATGAGGGAATTGCATTCACTCTGTTATAAAAAAATACCCAAGGGGAAGTCTGTTAGTATTGATATAAATGTCACCAGTTAAAGGAAACATGTTTTTAAATAATTACTATATAATTAAATTAAAATATATATTTACTCTTTTCAGAGGTCATTTTCACTAATAATAAAATAATGTTCTTTCGGTAACTTTTTTTTCTTAGTATAATTTACTCTGTGTTATAGTTTTTTTCTTTCTACTTTTAATTTCTATGGAACAAAATGGTAAGAGAGCAACATAAAAACAAACATCAAAAACACAGCTACTAGATTAGCTCCATGGAATATAAGAATTCCCTAATAGATCAAGGCAGATCTGTTTTGAGAGAATTTGGAAGAGCGGGAATGTGGAGGTGGTGTTCGGAATTTTGCAGAATTAGTTAGATGGTAACTTCAGTAATAATTATTGACTCATCCTCTTTCTCTCTCAACTAGTTCGAAAATATTAATAAAAAAATTTATTTATATATTCATGAAAGTATTTTTTCAGTTTACTTGCTCATAACTTTAGTAGAACAATTCATTTTGGAGCAAAGTTGCAAAATAAATAAAAAAGCAACAATTTAATTTTTTGATCAGATACGGCTGGTTAAGAAAGTTTTAATTTATTACTCTTGCTAGAAAATAGCAATAAATACAAAAAGAGGGAGAAACAAGCCTTTCTTTATGCAATGTTTTTTAACCACTTAGATTTTACTTACGACCTTAATAATTTGACTAGTAAATAGTACTAGTAAAAAAACTTCTTTTAAAATTTCGCACAACACAAACTAGACCATATATAAGTTTAACAATTGTTTTACTATTTCTAATGCTAAATGGCGGTAAAAGAAGCTTGGCAAGACGTTTTTTATAAAATAAAAAAATTTTAATTACGAGCTGGGATTTCTGAGATACAACCGCTTAAAATTATTATCGCACTTGCGATAAAATTATAAATAATGGGACAATAATCTTTAAACCATTACCTTTTTAAAATCATGAATGTGTTGCTTGTGTGAGTCCATTTCAAATAGGTAAAGAAATAATAAATAAGATTTACTCACAATCAATTTAATTTACCTATCAGACGACCGGTTTCGCTTTCTACAATATGCAAAGCATCTTCAGGTCTCGATACAAAGTTAAATAAATGATGCCGGTACTCTATTATTTGATGGATGGTAGAACATGGTTGAAACTACTATGTATTGTTGAATGGAGAACTCAATTCTGCTATTGTAGTTGTTTGACAGTAAACGGGAAGTTCTTGAGGAGATAGATTTGATCCAATGAAGCAAAGATATGTGTGTGATTGTTTGTTAAATGAAAGTGATGTAATATACCATTGTATTATTAAAAGTTATTTATACTTATTCGAGAGATATACTTATGAAATGTGTGTTATTTATTGAGTAATTGTTTTATGAAGGTGACAGTTTTATGACAATGAATAAGTTTAGATGTACAAATTGTGTGGGTGTGCAATTATTTTTCAACTTGTAGTTATCAAATTTATTTGATAAAGTTCTATTGGCAAAATAGTAGATTATTGCAAAGTCAAGTAAATAAAATATTAGAATGAAAACAATTAAGGACCATTTAAAACACACTAAAACAGAAAACACTTAGAAGAGACGAAACAAACATTAAATTTAAAAGGGGGAAGGACTTTTATGCACTACATTTCAGTCTTGGTCACAATGAGTTTTTTATGTGTTATTTATTAGATTTATAATTTTAAAATCGGCGTCGTATTTGTAGCTGATAAGTTGCTCAATCTTAAGCTTGCTGAGACTTCTAGTGATAACTTCGCCCAGCTGCTCGGCGAGGTTGAGAAGAGCTTCGTAGTTTTCAGTTTCAGTAGTGTCTGAGGTGCTTTGGCTGAATGGATACATTGGCGAGTTTGAGAACATTTTAAAGAAATGTAGTAATAATGCGCTGGGTGCTGGAGGTTCGAATGTGGCAAAAATCTGATGGGGAAAACAGCCGGGTGGGAATTGTTGTGGTACTAGCGGCGGTACAGCGGCGTATACATTATGTAAACGACAGTGTTGTGGTGTTTTGAGGACAGGTTGTGGTGTAGCTCCAAACTGCTTCGTGGTTCATTGGAATTGTCACTGGGACCTGCATTGGCAGATGCGAAGTGGATGGAGGATGCTGCCGGGGAGACCTGCGAGGTGGTGAAGGAGGCTGTACATTCAAGTCGATATGATGATCGGAGCGGGACAAACGTCTGCGTTTGCAAGATGGACTTTCAGATGGTTTGATGTACTCATCACTGGACTGCCGATAATATGGCGGAGAATGCTGCTGGAAATGAACCGAGCTCATCCGCATATCTATCCCGTATCTCCTTCTTCCGTGAAAAAAGTCCATCATGGCTCTTGGGTCCAGCAGACCTTTAGTTGGGGGTGTGTTCATATTCATCATGCCATTAATGTTTTTACATATGTTGATATGCAGAGGTGGAGAGATGTGACGTCTATCGACCAATCTCTTAATGTGGCGACGAAAAAAAAAAAAAAGGAAAAATAGTGGTTCCCTACGTCCCTACGTCCCAATAAATAACATTTTAGACATATCCATGGCTAACGACTTTTCAAAGTTCAATCTCCCATATTCCTGCAAAATTTATCATGCAGTGAACCTACTTAACTTAAAGCAATCAATTGACACCCTTATATCAATACAAAAACATATCTTCATCTTTACCTTGTATTATAAAAATTTAAACAGTCAATTGCAGCTTTAGAATTCCAAAAAAATAGAATCAACCCTAATCTTCTTTCCTAATCATACAAATCTTCATAAATCTAATTAACTCCCATTCCGATTGCACATTATACTATAAAACGCGTCTAAAACTGACAATGGAGTCTAAGTAGCAACTTTGCTAATGTAAAATACTTATTTCAAATTTTAAATTTTTTTAATATTGTTCTGAAGCTATTTTCTTGTGGCATTTTAAATTAATTACTATTTAGCTGGAAATAAGCCACAATTAAATATAAAAATACGTTTATTGACGTTTCAACGTTTATTTACTGTTTGTATTTTGAGAACGATTTCCGAAGTGGAAATTGAAACATCAATAAACGTATTTTTATATTTAATTGTGGCTTATTACCAGCTAAATAGTAATTAATTTAAATTTTTTTGTCGAAGTAGCGTTTCCATAATTTCAGGAGCTGTAATATATAAGTGATAATAATAGTAATAATATTTAAGATATATTGTTTAATAAGAAGAAGTGATAATATTTAAATGAAATATATTTTATAGACCTCGAGAATATTATTAATTTTGAGAATCTACGGTTGAGAATAAAATTCAAAACAAAATCACAGTATAGTGCTTTATTTTAAAGCACTATACTGTGACAAAATTATACTTTTATATGAATACACACCCCTTTATAACCAGAGACTATTTAGAAACTTGGCAATGCCGGAGCACCCAATGTCTGCCCTCACGGCGCCGAATTCACCACCGCAGTAGTTCGCGCGGTGCAGAGGCGCACTACCGCACTGAGCATATTTCAACCTCAACCCATTTTTACCTTGTTGCAATTCCACCAACATTTTAATAGTTTTTAAGGAATCTTATTTAGAAAATTTGTTGAAAATAGCTGAGATTTTTTATAAATTTTTACCATTGTACATATTGCACGACAGAGAGAAAAGTAAGATCCATTCAATAATCTTTTAGTCATAAACTAATAGTTTACAAACACATAATATAAAAAGTCATTAGATTTACTTACTTGGTAATAAACAAAGAAACAACTTGTCATGCAAATAAAATATCAATCATATCGAGATACGTGAGCGGTACAATATACAATAAATACATGAAAACAGAGTAAAATATGTAAATAAATTCATCATTCATGATTTTTATTAAAAATACTCATAAGAACTATAGAAATAGATACTATAAACTACTAAAGCAATCTGACTTTAAAACATAAAACAGCTGTTAGTATAAAACAGGTCCTGTTCTTTTAAGACTCTTGCCTACATTCTTGTGCTATGTCCACAACACGACCTATGAAACGTGTAACTTAATACCTTTCTCTGAAAATGCCAGCTGGAACGTCTATTGACTTTTTTGCTTGTCTTCTTAATGCGGCAACAACTCTTAGGGTTTTTAATAGAAGAAAATGAGTTGTGTCTGAAGTATAATTTGATAACTGTTTCTTATCAAAAAGGGAATTATTATTACAATTAGCAATACTTTAGTAGTATCAAAAGATATTTAAGTATGCCCATATACTCTGACGATGATGAAAACAACAATTAATTAACTGAATATTTACACTGAATCTCTTGTGCATATGCAGTCTTACGAACATTATAGAGGTTAAGCGTAGCTTACTAATATTGTTAAAGATAACTTCTAATCTTGGTTCGTGTTTATAATCAAACACGAGCCTATTATAACTGTTTGACGGAAATATTTTGGCATAAACATGGCAACCATGCTTTCGAAGAACTAGCTTGAAGTGAACAAACTCGCAATCAGGAAAAAATCTTAGGGGATTTTAGCAGTGCGGTTAGGAAACGGAAAGTTTACTAATCTTAAGGTTCTATCTCCTGAGAAAATCGGAATTACGAATTAAGTTATTTGGCTTTTAAGGGACTTAACATGGACATCACAAAAAGGTAGGGCAATAGGAAAATGAATAATAAAGCTGGTAGGGTAAATATAAATTCCTATACAAATTTGATCAATTTTATATATTTTTTATTAAATGTTTAATGTTGTTACTAAATGTTCAATTTTGCATTCATTAAAAAATTAAGAAAAACATTTAAAAATCAATATATAAGATGCAAATGTTATAAAAATTTAACTCAATATCAATTCAAAAGTAAATGAGAAGGCACAATATAATCTGTAAGATATATTGTTTTTTAATCATATGTTTACTTTTTAATAAACTCTAAAGAGTCAAATTAATTAAAGCTGATGCAGCCCGAGTCAAAAATGACTGATGATATTTAGGGTTTACGCTGGGTCTTTTTTGGTCGACCCGTATGTTAGTCTTAAGATTTTGCTGTCTTTGTTTCTTTGGGAGCAGACAAAGACTATTGATCATGCTAACTCAAATACTCAAGTTCTCGTCATATAAAACTGTTACTTTTTCCAATGTAAACCTGTGTTCAGACTTGACGCAATGGTTCGTGAATCAATTCGTTGTTGCCATCACAGATAACGGAATTGTACTAAATCTAAATAAAAAAAGAACGTTTAAAAATGTTTTAAGTTCTTCTATAGGTACTCTCTCTTCAATCCTGACCCCCCAGGGGGAGTGTAGTGGTCGACGTGATGTCGTGTATTGTCCGTCTCCAGAGATCTCTGTCTCTGGTCATTTCTTTTAATTCATGCATAAGTCTTTGGCATATTCCTGTAATTTGATCTATCCATCTTGTTGGAGATCTTCCTCGTGACCTTCAGCCTTCTACTTTTCCTTGTATTATGAGTCTTTCCATGTTTTCTGTGTTTGCTCTCATAACATGCTCAACATATTTTAATTGTTGGAGATGGACTTTACTAGAGAGTCGTTGGCTAACTTTTAGCTCTCTTAAAATTGAATTTTTTGTTCTACGGTCGGTCCAAGGAATTCGTAACATTCGTCTCCAACAGAATATTTCAGTGGCGTCTATCTTTCTTCTCTCCGATTGTCTCAGAGTCCAAGATTCACATCCGTAGGTCAGTATTGGGAATATTAAGCAGTTGATCAACTTCATCTTTATCGCTCTTGAAATTTGATAGTCCTTCCATATTTTGGTCATTTTTGCTGTAGCAACTTTTGCTAGATCACATCTACGTTTAATCTCCTCTTGTAATGAACCTGTGTTTGTGATTAATGATCCCAGATATAAGTATGAGCTTACAACCTCGAACCGGTCAATTGTGGTTATGTGTGGATTATTGTTGTGTAGTCTATCCACTATCATGATCTTTGTCTTTGATATGTTTAATTGCAGACCAAATATTTGACTTTCGGTAGGTACTATAGTATTTCGTATAGGTACTAGCGGACCCGAAAGACTTCGTTCTGTCAAATAGATTTGGAAAGTGGCAGTTTATTTCTTCAGCTCTTCTGCACAGAACAGTCACCATGATGATAGGGCGGTGTGTGAGGGTCAGCTCGGGTAACCTAAGTATCTTCGCCTCGACGAACTTTGGCCAGCCTTTTGAACCCACTAAAAACCCCGACTGGGATGTCTACTAGCGGGCTTTAAATTAAGAGGGGAACTTAAGGATCAAATCTGATTGAAAAATAATCTAAAGGGATAGTGAAAACCTAAAGGTGACAAATATTTCTAAAGTGGGTACTTTAATGACAAAACATAGATAAAATTAATTATTTATTATTATAAACATAGGGTTAATAACCGATATAATAAAGAATAATAAAATAAAACGTATACCTATAAGTATTTTCAGTAATATCTTTATTGTAAAGCCAGTGAATCATAATTATTAACAAAAATCTGTTTTATTTTTATTGTAGTACTGCACGATATACAATGTTTTTTGTGTGATTATCTGGTGAATATACAAACAAATCTGATGATTTTTCAATACGGGAACAGGTAATATACAATTGACTATGTGAGAAACATGGGTTTTCTAGATTAATACCACAAACACCTAATGATTGCCCCTGGGACCTATCGATGGTCATAGCAAAAACAAGCCGCACTGGAAAATGTAGTCGGTTAAATGCATATGGTATATCAGTCGGAATCATTGGGATGCGTGGTATCAAAACGTCTTCTCCTTTATACTTTCTTTTCAGTATAATTGCTTCTATCACGTTGTTCAATCATTTTTTATCGCTAACCGTTGCAAAGACGCGGTTGGTTGATATTTCTCAACATTATAACTACCGATCCAACCTTTAATTGAAGATTGTGACGAGGCAATCCTGGTAAATCCAGCGAGTTTAAAAATTCAGGCGGATAGTAGGCTACATCATCTTGGTTAGTAGCCGAATCAACTAATTTATATATCCTCAATTCGCCTGTAATTTGTTGTTTAATTTTGAAATTTAATTCATTTATATCTATGTTTTTTGCAGCCAATATAGTCCGTTCGCTCAACCAATCATGGTTTCTGTAATTTTGAGCAACAACTGGAAACACCTTCTTCTGGAAACAAACATCGGTTTGTTTGACGGATGCAATGACGTGAAAACAGATGCAATTTATTTTGCGTTCCGAAACTAAAACAAAAGAAAAAATATTGCGAAGCCAATTAAATCTATAGCTCTTATATTTTTTGATTTTTCATTTTGGTCGGGTTCACGATATTATCACTTTTGTGTGAACGCATTAGATCCTCCAACGCGAATACGCACACACACGAACGCGTACACACACGAACGCGCACAAACATGAACGCGCACA